ATGCCTAAAGTCTGAAAATCCCTTGGAGATCTAGGTTTAAAGGCTAAAGAACCTGGAATCTGATGTCCACAGGTGACAACAACAGAGAAAACCCCTCAGGAAGAGTCAAGCTAGCTCCTCTTCTGTGTTTGCATTCCATTCAGGGCCTAGGTATATTGGGGAGTGCCACCTATATTCAAGGTACATCTTCCCCAGTCATTGTCCTAAGCCACAAACCAATCTTCCCTGGAAACATACATCCTTGAAGCAAGAAAAGATGACAGCCAAAACTATAAGGAAACAAGAATAGATTATTGGCTCAGCTTCTTTCATTTTTCCTTTGTGTTTTCTTTTTCATTTTCCTCTGCTCTATTGAAGTTGGAATTCCTACCTGCCTTCTCCCTTCTCCAACAATTTCATCTAAGAACCCTTGTTTTCACTTTAAGTACTCTATATTGGATCCTATTCTTTGAACAGAGTTTATATTTTAAAGTTTAAGAGAAAATGGGCTAAGTCAATATCCAACTAAGTTGATCAGCTTATAAACCTAATATAAGACACCAAGAACTCTGCAGTATTATTTGCGATATTTAGAAGAACGAACTTGACTTTTGCTACCCAACACAGGAGACAAAAGCTATGGGTGACTACTGAACACTTGAAATGAAGCTACTTCCACATGTAAAAATAATAGAATTTCCAAAGTATTGAATTCTGAAAATTATCAAAATTAATATCAAATTTTCCTTATTATGTTTAGCACCATTTGCATTATATCTATACTTAGTGTTGCCAAGCAAGAAAGCTTAGGCAAGAAAAGGCAAGTAGTGTGTTAATAAGATCAGTGTATGGCCAGCCTGTATTTTAGAGCTGGCATCCAGGCCATGTTTAGAGACAGACATAAGAGAGAGCAATTTGGAGATGGACATCAATTAGATGATAACTTTGGTAGCTCAGGAAAGAAAAGATTGTCCTATTCAAAACCACAGAAGTATTATTTCTGCACAAATTGCCATTTGCTGCAATAGTTATAAAGAAGAACTAATGACTAAAACAAAATAATAGGTTATTGAAAATGTGTTTGTGAACTTTCTCTGGAAAGCAAATACCCAGCCATAAACAGGTATCCCCATATTCACACTAGCATCTCCTCTGTACTCATTTTTTATTATTTTTGCATCAATCTGGAGTAACACAAATGAGGGAGAATGTGGCCTTTTATGGATTGCTACAAGCAGGGCAACTGAGGCTAGAGCAAAGAACTTGTGCTTTAGACTAAGCTCCACAACTTGCCAATTGTATGTTGCTGGGCAGATTTGCTAAACAATCTGGGCTTCACTGCCTTCAAAACAAAAATAGCTAACTCTTTCACAGGGTTGGTGGGAGTTGAAATATAAGTACAATAAATGTGTGGACACCTAACTAATGCCATGAAGTGTAAATGTGCTGGTTTGTCTTTCCCAAAAAGTAAATCATGGGTAGCAATGGTGGGATGACTCCTTGGGTCACAGAGGCCTTCATACTTGGTAAACCGGTAGTTATGCTAGAAGGTGCAAAGGGCCTTCTCAACATTTGCTACTGGGGGAACTTTGGGATTCTAGGCAAATGTGTCCTCCTTCCAAGGACAGTCCTGGCAATGATCGAGCAAGATAAGTGGAGGATAACCCAGGCTCTTTGACGGCTAAGTAAATGAGACCCTGTTTATTTAATCTACTAGTTATCTGGCCACACAGGTGTTCCAGAGCCATTCTTCCCTTCGCCAGGATGTGGGTTTCACAGGGCCCCCAGAATCAGAGTAGTACCTAAGGAAATGTTTATCTCCTCTGCAAATATAGGCAGTTGAGACACTTCAAAGTCAGGTATTTTTATGTTTAAATGTCTAAGGTTTCTGTGTCATAGTTGAATTATGTAACCTTCAGTTGAGTGCAGAAGACTGGCATGATTTTTCAGTGGAAGCCCCTCATTCTTCAGTGCCTTTGGTTAGCTGGATGGAGATTCCTATCGAATGGAGGTGCTCTATTGTCCTTCACAAGCCTGTCCATCAAGATTACTATCCTGAGGTGTGAGCAACAAGCTCCAGAGACTGGTAGAGAGCAAGATTTTTGTGGTAGCTCCAATTACCAAGTGCACTCAAGGTATGGGGAACATTTTACTGCTTCAACTACATATTAATTGCGGCTTGCTGGGGCACCATGCAGAATGGGGTGAATTTTCACATTAACCCAGAAGTATATATATATGGTTCCAGATTGCCCATGAAACTAAAAACTGCCCATCCAATTGAAATTCCTCCACATTGGGATAAAGATCTGAGCAGTTATTTTTTATAATTAGAGGATGATAGAAGGAAAGATGATTTTACAAAGTCAGATGTTGATGGGAAAACTTGTTAAAGTATTGGCATTCTGCATGAGAACCAGTCACATCTCATGGTGCAAAGCTTAACTCATGACTGGATACTTGGTGTCTGAACTATTCATGAAGACAGAAAACCAGTGGACAACCAAGAAATCTGTATTTGTCAAAGCAGTGGTAACTGTTCTACCCTGAAATCTCAGTGACCTAAAATAATGGGAGTATCTTTTTTGTTCTGTGAGATGTAAACAGAGTATCTGTGACTGTTGAGTAGCTTTCCACCTAGTAAGGAACCTAGGTTCCTTTCCTTAGGCACCTGACTTCTAGGTCACCGTGCTTGCCTGTATGAAGACATAGAACCACAGCCGCATATGGAGGACCTTATGTGGGTTTTTAGAAACAGGACTGGAATTCATTCACAATATATGCCAGGACTAGCAAGAGACACGTGTCTCATCTCCCTGAAAGGGACCTTGGGGAAGAGGACCTAGATTTTATTCCTGCATGAAGAGTTAGCCATAGCATACACACAGACACTCTAGTTAGCAGGTGGTCTGAAGAAAACAATAGATTTGATCAAAGTTCACCCCTCAGCTAAGGACTTCATCTAGACTGGATCAGCTGACATGATTGGAAAACTGGCATGATAGATGGCTGATTGTGTGCCTAGCCTTTGTAGGTCTGAAATATTGAGTCTTTCTGAAACATTTTAAAATCTGAACTTACTTTGATGTATAGAATAACCTCCATTGACTCTGGTCTATAATTCAAAATATAATGACTTTTGATTCTAATCCAATAGCCTATAGAAAATGACAATTTGGGGCTGAGAAGGTGGCTCAGTGGTAGAACTCTTGCCTTGCATGCTCAAGGACCTGGGTTCGATTCCTCAGCACTGCATAAGCAAAAAGAAAAAAAAGCCGGAAGTGGCGCTGTGGCTCAAGTGGTAGAGCGCTAACCTTGAGTTGAAGAGCTGAGGGACAGCGCCCAGGCCCAGAGTTCAGGCCCCATGACCGGACCCAAAAAAAAAAATGACAATTTACCCAATTATTGGTTAGATTTTGTATCATTTCAAATGTCATATAAATAAATTTTTAAGGTATAAAGACTATAAACTTCTCCATGATATGGCCAGAATGAATGTTGGTTCCCATAGGACATGATCCTGGGTTCAATACAGCATTAACACAGTAAATAACAGAAAGATGAAAGACTTTAGTTCTTACAAGCTTCAAGAGAGTTTTGTTTTCCCTTTATTTAATTGAATAAAAGAGTATTCACATCCAAAACTATGAGAGATGGTATGAGTAGTTGTAACTTTAGCAGATATGTAGAACAAACTCTTTTTGTTAGCTTCTTCATTCACAGGGTCCTGCTAACTATGCATCGACAATGGGCTAGATGCTCACTTGTGATGGGGAGACCCAGAGAACCCCAGCCCTCTCTGCTTAGGACTTGGAACTGAATGTGTTGAGTCTCAAGTGAGGCAAAGGCTAAGGTAGCCACCTAAGGAGATCAGTGGCTGAGAGATAAGGGGCCTGGTAGGAATTTTCCAGGGCCCCCACCCAAGGAAATCCTTGGTAGTGCCTTATGTTCTTGTTTGAACATCTTTTGCCAAATTTTCTTGACCTTTGTACACACACACACACACACACACACACACACACACACACACACAGACCTGTTGTTCCTTTCTGTACGTTTAATTTTTGTCATGGGACTGCAAATGACCAGCTTTAACTTAAAAGTATAAAAATTTTAATGATCCATTAAAAATGTGTACATTATCAGGCTAGATGGCTCTGGTTCCTTAAAATGATCATCTCCTATTAGAGTTTCTAAATATTTACTTTGAGTACTATATCAACAATTAAAACATCACAGTTGTTTTTACCCAGCACTTCTTTTTGTACACGATTCCCATACCATTACTTTCCAAGCTGAATTGTGTATCTTTTCTCTTATTCATTATTTCAGCTGATTTTGGTGAGATCATAAATGACCTCTCTTTTCCTTTACTTCTTTTCCTTGTGGTCCTCTTTTTCCTTCTTCTCTTTCTTTTTTTCTTTTTAATTTTTTTTGCTTGTTACTTTGACACATGGTATCCCTATGTGGTCAGGCAAACTTTGAACTCACAATCATCCCACCTCTGCTTTCAAAAACCCATGAAATAGGTATGAGCTACCCTCACAGACACTCTAATTGTAATTGTTCCTTCACTTATTCTTTCTTCTTTGTTACTGTTGAGAAATAAGTCTTGTAGCCTCTCAACATGCTAGCTGGTTTTCTGGAGGGAATGAGCTCTCTTGAAGAATTAGTTCTATGTTTGAGCGGAGGGCAAAACTTGTAGAAAAGCTACATATAACTGAATGCAAGATGGTTATGGTCAAATCTGTGAAAAGAGATGTCAATGGACCTGCTCAGAGAACTTTAAGGAAAGAGACAACAACCTTCCCTCGTGATTCTGAGCATTGCATAAGCACATTGGAAGAGAACTTGCCATAGTTCCCACTTTCTCATCTTCCCACGTACACCTTGCAGAACCTTACCAGCACTATCAATATGGGCTTATCTGTGAATAAAATTAGAAATGTGTCCTTGGAACCTCCTCTGTTTTCATGCCACTTTTCCATGCTCAAAAAGATAAGGCTTCCCTATAAAAGGAACTTTCAGTAGTAGCTGGTTGTCCGAGAACCCAACGGATCCGCCATGGTGAGTCAGGAACATCTTTTCTAGGTTAATTTGCTAGAATTCATTTTCCCCAAAGGTCTGCATGAACTTGAATTACAGCCATCTTTTAACATGTTAGTTCACCCGAATCAACCATGTTTTTCCCTTTCTGCAGATGCTGCTGCTGTGGACACTGTCACTGCTGCTTGGGGCAGCAGTAGGTGAGGAATGGTATTTATTTGACAGTGGGGAAGCCTCACTGCTTAGTCCTTTCCAGAATTCTGGAATGGCTGGATAAAGACATGATAAGTACAAGGAGTAAAGTGATGAAGATGTAGGATTAAGAGCACAGGACCTGGGGTAGGGTTGTCAGATAAGATCAGTGGCACCCAGTGCCATTTGAATTTTGAATAAACAAGAATTCCAACATATGTGATGCTACATGAAAAAATACTCCGTTATTTGAAGTTCAGATTCATCATCAATATTTATATTCTGAACCTAGCACCTCTCGCTTCAATTAATGGAGTCCTTTGAAGCCTTCCTTAGTCACCTACAACTCAATCACTCTATGGAATATCTTTAACCTCTTATGTTTCAGGGTATTTTTTGGTCAAATGAGGATAATGACATCCCCATTATGGGGTGACTGTGCGGCTTAGAAATGGCAAAGAAATCACCTTGCCTAGTGTCTGGCACATGGTAAAATCTAGGCAATGCAGCCACCATAGCAGCTAGTATTTTTAGTGCTGCTATCATGGTGGGCTTAACCTTGCTCTACAACTTTTCCTTTGAGGTTTCCCGTTATGCAGTACCATGCCACCCTAGGTTGTGTTAAATTGTGAATGTTTTCTTTGATTGATTGAGTACCTACGTTATCACAGGAATCTAGGATGGTCCTCACGTATTTGTCAGATACCTATGTGCTCACCCATAGTGGAGATAAGAAGACTGGGTCCCTGCATGAAACAAACTAACCACCCCACCTGAATTCCAAAGCCAGAGGGGCTAGTGGTAGTCCAATCCTCCACACATCCACACCACGGCCTAACGCACAATGCAACTCAATTCTTGGGCACCAACTGCTTAACTATAATATCTATTTTGAGAAGCTAAAATGATTCCCTGCCTTTTTCTGAGCAGAAACAAGAGGAGAGAGAGGTGCTTCCCTGAGGTAAAAGTGAGGAACCAGAGCCTGTCTGTAATTGCCATTGCTCTTTATGAAGGTGCTTTATGAGTGTGATAAAAGGGTATTTGGGAACGTAAAGGAAGAAAATCTGTAGAAGATGTACTTTAACTTATATTATGCCTGAGAGACCATTGAAAATGCATTCTGGTTACACTAATATCCTTGAAACCCTTCTGGGTGATTTCAGGAAGAGAAGTCTGCTACGACAGACTGGGATGCTTCACTGATGATGCTCCCTGGGCAGGAATTGTGGAAAGACCCCTGAAAATACTGCCCTGGAGCCCAGCGGACATCAACACCCGCTTCCTGCTCTACACCAATGAGAACCAAAACAACTATCAAGTAAGAAGCCCTCTTTCCAGGATGTAGTCCAAGCTGTTCTATGTAATTTGTTCACTAAATATCTAAATCTTCTTAAGAGGGAAAAAAATTTCTAGGGCAATGAAATTTATTTTTTGACCCTTCCAATGTACATGTGTGTATACAAATATATGTATATATATATGTGTGTATATGTGTATATAATGTATATATGTATATAAATATTTGTACATATTCAGATTCATTCAGATATACATAACTTCTTGCAATACATACACAGAGAATGCATATTTAAAGTGGTATGAATTAAGGTTTCTTTGACCTTGCAGTGGTAGAAAGGTTTTATGTGTTTTGTAGACATCATCTTTCAATTTTAAATTCTGGTCTTTTTTGGACTAGCAATAGACAGTAGTAGTGGTCCACAATCCCCGTCAGCCACTAATAATGAATGTTGGTGACTGATGCATTGGAGTGTGATGTGTTACTAAGGTATGATATTTAGTAGTTTGGGTGTTTTCAATGTATTTTCAGCCTACAGTACTTTCAAATTACACCAGATTTATTGAGACATAGCTCTATCATAACTAGAGAAAAATCTATACACATAGATAGATAGATAGATAGATAGATAGATAGATAGATAGATAGATAGATAATTTCAATTGTAAATATATAGATTAGGTTACAGCTATACACAGTTGAGCATATGTATATGTATACATGTATATATGAAGACTTGAAGTAGATGAGACTTGAAATAGATAAGATTTCACTGACAAATATTATAAAATACATATCATCTGAGTAAGACAACCACAAAAATCTTGTGATGATAGAAACTAGAAGCACAGTGATGTTGGTGAATAGCTTGACTGTAACGGAAAAATCCTTTCAGGGATCCCAAATCCCACTAGTTTTCATCTTCCTACCACCTGACATATATTAGTGATTCTAGAAGACACTATACACACTTAACCTGAAACACTTTTCTCCCCTACACAGAGAGTCACTGCAGACACATCAAGCATCAGGAGCTCCAACTTCAACACAAATAGAAAAACTCGCTTCATCATTCATGGGTTCATAGACAAGGGAGAAGAAAACTGGCTGTCCGATATGTGCAAGGTGAGACCTGGTGATCTCCCAAGAGAAGTTAAAGTTGTCTCACGTGCAGAAAAATCAACAACCTGTAAGGCAGGGAGGGCCCCAACCAAGGAGAACAAATGTTAGTACTGCCACACTGGAGGATTCTCTAGTTGTAGGAAGGCTCCAGGGGTACCGGTGGGAGTGGGATCCTGGGACAGACAGGACAGCAGGCATTTGGGGGCTGTAGCCAGCTATGATTTAAGGGCTAGTATAGACATTTCAAAACTGTAGCCGTAGAAGCGCCTATTGATTTTCAGTTGATAACTCTTATATCCTCTGGTAGGAATATTTATGATCACTGGATGGTTTTCATTTCTGGCTTCTGTTTTTCCTACAAAAGTGATCTCATTTTCTTTTATTTGCCTTTGGCTCTGCTCCCAGTGATAACAAAGATTTAAAAGATAGAAAATCAAGTAGAATAAGTTGTCCTTGTAACTGCTAGTACTTAAGAACATTATTATTGATTCATTTATTTGTATATTTATTCACATTTTTATCAAACTTTTGCAACTGCTATGGCACTGGATTGTACTTGTTTTTACAGGGCTGTCATGAAAAGAATCCCAGGCTCTGCTTAACCCATTAATTTCTATCCTGTGTTTGACTGGAACCAAAGACAGAACCAGTTAACTGTAGAGCACATGGACTGATCCTGACCAATTCTGACAATAGAGAAGCACACTAGAGTTCATTCCCTTCATGAGTTTAGGAAAATTAGTAAAAGCAGAGTTTAAATTTTATAGTTATTGTAGGTGGTAGTAATATTGTGGACAGTAATAATAGCTTGCTGTATAGCAGTGAAGGAAAAATGTGATTCAAAAGAATATAATTATTTTAGGTAAGAATATAGAATTTATTTCTAATATCCCAAAAGCAGGTGTTTTAGGTATATTTGATTGGGCCTTGCCAACAGTGTTACAATACCATTAATATGTTGTGATGAAGAAAGGAGGGATTAAACCAGAAGGATGAAGATCCTAGTTTACAATCCTGATCTATTCTTAGCTAACTATAATATTTGAAAAGGTATAGCCTAAATTGTGCTCTATAGCAGCAACTTCGTGCTCTCATCTAAGACTAATCAAACTGGATTCACTTTTACTTACTTAGAACAATTATTTCTGTTGTTTGGATTTTATTCTTCTGTAATAGAAAAAAAGTTAAAGATGATTTCTTTAATATTTTTAATTTTATGTAAAAAGATGAGAGTATGTAAAATATATGCTCAAGCAAATAATTTCTACCAGAGCTGCTCTTCTACAAGCCTTGCTTGACCCTAGCAAGCAAAGTTACCAGTTTACATTGTCAGATATGCTTTTGTTGTTATGTTGTTGGTTGTGGGGCTTGAACTCTGGGCCTGGACCCTGTCCCTGAGCTCTTCATCTCAAGGCTAGTGCTCTACAACTTGAGCCCCAGTGCCACTCCTGGTCTTCTGGTGGTTAACTGGAGATAAGAGTCTCATGGACTTTCCTGCCCCAGCTGGCTTTGAACCACGATCCTCAGATCTCAACCTCCTGAGTAGCTAGGATTACAGGTGGAGCCACCAGCGCGAGGCTTAGATATACTTTTATGTGAAATAACAGTGATGTAGAGTAAAACATGATTAGGAATTCATCAAAAAGAGCTTATTCCTTGTAACATCAGTATATTTTCCTATGTAAGGGATTCTAACAGTCTTTCATTCATTCACTCATTTAGTAATTTTTTATTGAGCATTTGTGAACCAGGAAGTGTTCTAGACACTGAGCAGAGAACAGTGAAAGAGACACATAATGTCTTAGTACATTCTAGTTTGATGGCCTTCAAGAAACTCTAATAAGACAAAGACTAATGTCACAACTCATATGTTTTTCTCTGGATCAAATGCATCTTTTACAATAGAAATCCTAATAATCCTGTTTCTACAATGCCCACACCTCTGGTTTGGAGCCAATGGTAAACTTCAGGAGATATCCTATACCTAGTACAGTTTTGTTCATAGCTTTGGGATTAAAAGTGACATGATATTGTTTAGGTCGAGGAGGGAATTTATCCTAGTCTTCAAATGTGTTCATTACTCATCTATTTCTTGTGTCTCTTCCTTCAGAACATGTTTAAGGTGGAAAGTGTGAACTGCGTCTGTGTGGATTGGAAAGGTGGCTCCCGAACTGGCTACACCCAGGCCTCACAGAACACTCGCGTTGTGGGTGCAGAAATAGCATATTTTGTTGATGTCCTTAAGGTAATACCTTCCAAGTTATATAAAAAGCTCATATACTTTGTTTTCTGGATTCTGTTTTGAAAACAAAAGTTCTAGGTATGATAATTAATCAAGACATTTCTCTACTGAAATAGGCTTTCCCTTCCCTTCAGATAAAAATGCAAAAGAATAATCTAGATTTGGGCATCATCAATCTATTTATTTCAAGAACTTAATTTTTATTGTTAATTAAATGGACTTAATCAAGAAACTAGGGGCTGGGAAGGTGGCTCAATGGTAGAGTGCTTGCCTTGCATGCATGAGGCCCTGGTTTGATTCCTCAGTGCCACATAAGCAGAAAAAGCCAGAAGTGGCACTGTGGCTCAAGTGGTAGAGTGCTACCTTGAGCTGAAGGACAGTGCCCAGGCCCAGAGTTCAGGACCCACGACCGACAAAAAAAAAAAAAAAAGAAAAGAAAAGAAAAAAAGAAACTAGGGGCTGGGAAGGTGGCTCCGTGGTAGAGCGCTTGCCTGGCATGTCTGAGGCCCTGGGTTGGGTTCCTCAGCACCACATAAACAAAAAGAAAAAAGCTGGAAGTGGTTCTGTGGCTCAAGTGGTAGAGCGCTAGCTTTAAGCTGAAGAGCTAAGGGACAGCGCCCAGGCCCAGAGTTCAGGCCCCATGACCAGATCCCCCCCAAAAAAAAGAAAGAAAGAAAAAAGAAACTAGGTAGATGATACCTACTTAATACAATGGCAAAATGCTAACCAATTGGGAAACCTTTTAATTAAAAAATGAAACTTGAATGTATTTAAATAACTTCTTCCGTTAGGGTTTCAACTCCAACTTGTCACTTAATCATTTCTACCTAACAAATCACATTGTTCAAAGATAGATTTTACAAAGTAAACAGTGTTATAGAGTTTTATGCCCACTAGTTCAAAAGTTAAACCCATTCCCATTTTGATCATTATAACTTCAAAAAAAAAAACCTCTGAAAACAATTTTTTTGAGGAGACAGCATGTCTTCCTGAAAATCAAGAGTGTGAGAGCCCTCTTCAGTGTCCACCTGGAATTCTGAACTCTTGAAAACATTTTAAAGAGGTTTGCTTTCCAACAGAATCAATTAGGATACTCACCTTCCAACGTCCACCTCATTGGCCACAGCCTGGGCTCCCATATTGCTGGAGAGGCTGGAAGAAGAACCAATGGAGCCATTGGAAGAATCACAGGTTGGTCACAACAGTGGCTGCAATATTAGATTAGATGTATCCTCTATGGGGATCAAAAGGAGATACAGGAGAAAAATCTGGTGCAGCCTCGTAACCTTCTCACATTTTCTAAATTGTGCCTCAATTAGAAATCAGAATGTTCCATGTCCTGGTAGATTGTTTTATTGCCATAAATCTTTGTTTTTCACCATTCCATTTAACATTTGAATATATTGCATGTGACTAAAATGCAAATTGAGAAGCCCCAGAAACATGACTGTTTCCCCATTTTCAGGAAATAAATACCATAAAGCATAGAATTTAACCAACAGAGCTTAAGTGTGTACAGTTAATTGAAATCCTGCTTCAACAGCAGCTGCTAATTAGCACATGTGTCATCAACCAGAATCCCAGAGACAAGAGAAGGGAAAAGATGGCGAGATTGCACTGGACTGGTAATTCTGTTCTGGACATTACTAATTTGATATCAAATGCCATTTTTACTAAACTCAAAATGGCTGCATTGAACTAATAGGGTCACAGTTGTTCAACAATCCTGTAACCTTTAACAAAGAAGTTGTTATCTTGGATCTGAGACCTGACTGCTTCAAGGAATGACCATGGCCCTCCTCCATCTTCCACCTTTCTGTGCTGACCCAGAAATACCCAGATAAGTTGTTTGTATTTGGATTAGTGGAGGCATCTAGACTTTCTCTTAATTTGCTGAAAAGAAGTTCTTCCAGAGTCTTTTCTCTCAGTTTCTACTCTGTTTACCACAGTCTGTTCAACCAGATACTGGGCCATGCCAGGCTATAGACTCAGTAAGGAGAGCCAAGGTCCTTGTCCTCTTGGGAGACTGTATTATTATTGGAGCACTTCAATTCTTATCTTTTCTGATAACTGCTTCTAATAACCAAGATTCTCTCAAAGAGTATGCATCCATAAATAGGGTCAGTGCTATCATTTGGAAAAATCCACTTTCAATCAAATAGCTAACTCAGAGCAGATTTCCCTTCAAAATGGTTATATCAGGAAGAACTCATTTCTTTTTTAATTTTATTTTATTTTATTTGTGAACATACTGTACAGAGGGGTTACAATTACATGGGCAGGATAATGCGTACATTTCTTACCAAGCATTGCAGCCTCTTCCTTTGGTTTACCCTTCCCATCCCTTCCCAGCCTCCCCCTCCCCCCCCAATCCCAATCCTTCTCCTTCCCCCCCTCCCTGCACCGACGTTGTAAAGCTCGTTTTGGACATGACAACTTGTACTTCTCATTGTTGCAACAGATCCACCTGTATCCTTAAACAACTGGTTTTTCCCCATCTCCTCCACAAGTTATACTGACATCAAATATAGAGAAAGCAGGGGTTATACTGTGGGGGAGGGACATACAAAGCAACAAAGAGATAATCTTATAAATGCGTTAGAAACACATGCATGAAAGAAAAAAACATTAAAATACATATCTAAGGGTTCATTTTCCTGACATCACATTATCTGACCTTTTTTCTTTCTTTCTATCTGTAACTCATGACTGTAGCCAAGACTTGCACTCAGGTCTGTAACTTATGAAGAAAGGTGGAGATGCATGAACAAGGACATAATTAATGACACATATATGTTTTAGGGTTGGATCCTGCTGAGCCTTGCTTTGAGGGTGCACCTGAGCTAATCCGATTGGACCCCAGTGATGCTCAGTTTGTGGATGTCATTCATACAGATGCTGCCCCAATCGTCCCCAACTTAGGTGAGTTCCTCAACTTGTCCTCCTAGAGGATTTTGAGTCTACAGTTTTAATGTATGTATAGTGTCTCGAATCTCTATCATATCATAAAACTACTCTTACTTTTTAACTTATTCAGGGTTTGGAATGAGCCAACCTTCAGGTCACCTTGACTTCTTTCCAAATGGTGGAGTAGAGATGCCTGGATGTCAGAAGAATATTCTCTCTCAGATTGTTGACATTGATGGGATCTGGGAAGGTAAAACCATCCTTGTGCAGACATGTTTTTTTTTTTAGGGAAAGTTTGTATAATGTTGATAAACTCACTGGATAATTTAGAATAATTTAGGTTTGTATATAACAACGAATCTCTAATTGTACTCTTGAGATACAGATCCACATCAACACATGTAGGAATGAGGTCTTTGGGAATAGAATCATATTTATGATAAGCTTTCCAAGGACCTAATTCAGTGACTGCATTACCAAGTTGCCCTTATAACAATATGGGACAATTCTTCCCTTATCAAGTTATTTTTGTTTCATGTAACAATGATGTTAAATATTATCATTTTAAACAGTACTTAAATTCTAGTTGAACCTTTAATCACAAATACACTTCATAAATGATTTTATGCTATGACTTCATGAGTTCACATTAATTAGAGAAAGCTTCAATACCTATGTTTTCATTACAATGTTGACTTGGAAAAATAAAAATGTGTCACTGATGTATAATCATATTTGATTTCATAGGAACTCGTGACTTTGCAGCCTGTAATCACTTAAGAAGCTACAAGTACTACTCAGATAGCATCCTCAACCCTACTGGTTTTGCTGGATTCTCTTGCTCCTCTTATAGTGTTTTCTCTGCAGTAAGTATATTTCCCCTTCCATGTGAATTTTAATTTTGAATTTTATTTTTGTAGTGCTGAGGATGGAACTTAGGGCCTTGTGCATACTAAAGGTGCATTATACCACTGAGCTCTATCTCCAGTTACTCTATTTGTATTTTGTGGCTACTGGTTCTTAATATTAGCATGGCTCACTATGAAGACATCATTCAGTGAATATTTATAGTGTTGGATGTATACTAAATTGTAGATATGCATTTTAGTAGCAGAAAAACACGAACAATTTACATATTAGGCTTGTAAATGGAAATCTCTTTTGTATAACTTATTCCCTATCACTTCTGTTACATCAGGTATATGTTCAAATTCATTTTGGAAATAATCCTAAACAAACAAGTAAAATACAAGTCCATGGCTATCTGAGAGCCATGTTTAAAGGAAGCTGCTGAACATGGGAGATTTTCCTTAAATGCCAACCTCTGTAATTGTAGAATTATGGACATAGAGACAGTTCTTGACAACTTCATATCCATCAATATTTCTTTGAATTTCCATCTTGTTTGATAGCCTCTTGGTATTGAATTCTTCTATCTAAGCTTGAATATGAAATATCTGTTGTTTGTTATAATTTGTAGTTTAAAATTTTTATTTGAGAAAAAGTAAAAAGAAAAAAACAAAATAGCTAAATGACTGAGGAAAGTACTTCATTGCTCTGAGACAGTAACTTCATCTATAGATGAAAATAATAATGGTCGATTCAATGCCCATGTAAAAGGAATTAATGATATTTTATGATATATTAATATTTTCATGATATATTAATTGCTTAGCCCTGAACAAAAAAAAACATAATAATCAGTATTCAACAAATGCTAGCTATTTGGGAAAGTGGTACACAATTTTAATCACATACAGACTGATTCCATAATTAGAACTGAACATCTCCCACTTTTTTTTAGTATAATGTTTTGTTTTTATCATTTTATAAATAAAGCAGAGAAAATCATATTTCATGCAATTGAAACAGTCTGATTCAACAATATAAACAATCTTTTTGGAAAAATGCTCAGTGCTTATCTGAGTAAAATCACTCAATCTTGAGAGTTCTTTGCCTCTATACCCCATTCTAAATGTTTCTTCAAGGGAATACTGACTTAGTTCATTCTGTTGGTGATCTACCCAGTATATGGTTTTTTTGGTTTTTGGGTTTGGTTTGGTTTTGCCCATCCTGGGGCTTGAGCTCTGGGCCTGGGCGCTGTCCTTGAGCTTCTTTTGCTCAATGCAAGTACTCTACCACTTGAGCCACAGCGCCACTCTGGCTTTTTCAAGTAGTTGATTGTAGATAAGAGTAACTTGGAGGTCCACTGGTCCAGAGATGTGCAGTTCCTTTGGACTTTCAGTCATCTTGTTGTTTGTCTTTTGGATATGCATGCTCTGAGACTTCTGAGATGAAATCTGGAGCTTGTCTACCCTGGGTTTAGATAATCCATTTGTTCCTGTCCAGTTCTCTCTCTCTCCCTAGCTTATGGGATGTTGGCATGTATCTATTTGACCTATCATCAGATCCATTGATTCAAATGGTAACTAGGTGTCTTTCCACAGTGGGAAGTGGATGTTCATCTTCCCAACTCCATTCATTACTCTTAATTCCTCTTAGTATATTCCCTAGTCCAGGAAGAGAGGATATTTTCCCATATTATAAATTTCTACAGAAATCAGCCTCATTATTAATCTTTAATAACCAACTGGATCCTTTTTCTCTGCACATGGGGAGAATTCTGAGATGTAGTCTGCAGTCCTAAACACTAAATGGAGGCTAAAGGACTTGAGAAATACCTGGCTTGCAAGTTTATTGTCCCCATAATGGATTCTATTTTACATATGAGAGACTGATTATCCCATCTTGTTCTTTCTTATGCAACTGTGGTAAAATAAATTCCAACTTCCATGCAGCACCATGAATATCTTGGGGGCAAGAAGGGCAACTTATGGAGAAAACAAGGAAACAAATGTATTCACACAATGTCCCTAGTTATATGTAATTCTCTAACAGCAAAACCACTGATTTATCCTCCTGCATCATTAAACTTTTCTGAGACATTATTAACGTTCTTTTACCATCAGGAACAGAATTAGCATTACTTGACTTTTTACTTGACTTGTAGCAACATGGAGGAAAAGATGATACACTGTTAACAGAAAGAGCACTTATTCAGGACACCTTTGTTTTCACAGAACAAGTGCTTCCCCTGTGCACATGGAGGATGCCCACAAATGGGTCATTATGCTGACAGATTTTCTGGGAAAACAAATGGAGTATATCAGAGATTTTATCTAAACACTGGTGATAAGAGTAATTTTGCTCGTAAGTTCTTATTTTATTAACCTTAAATTATTCTCCCCACCTCCAACCTCCTGCTTAGTGCTGTTTACAAATTCACTGTCTTATATATGGCAAACCAGTGTTCTACCACTGAGCTACAACACTAGCCATAACTTTAAACTTTTAATCCTATGTTTCCATGCCCACTAATAATATATAAAATTGTTTTTTCATGCACATGTTTATACATCGCACCCAGTGTGAAAATTCTCCAAATGCCACACCCACTATAGTAGAATGCAGTATGGGGCATAGACTATCAATGTGACACACATACATTTCTTTTTTTTTTTCTGGTTCTGAATTTAGGAGCCTTCTTCTGCAACAGTCTCTTTTTACTCAGTCAAAACTTTTAACAAAATTCTAAATTTCAGTACAAACAGAAAAGTAACCTCCCATGGGGCAGGCATGAGTCCTCACCCCTGTAATCCCACCCCACTTCCATGGGGCAGGCATGAGTCCTCACCCCTGTGATCCCACCCCACTTCCATGGGGCAGGCATGAGTCCTCACCCCTGTGATCCCAGCTACTTGGGAGGCTGAGAGCAGGAATACTGTGGTTTGACACCAGCTCGGGCAGAAAAGGGTTGCTAAATTCTATTTTCAAATAACTAGCAAAAATGCATGGCTGCAGACATAGATCAAAGGCAGAGCACCAGCCCAGCAAGCGAAAGGCCCTCAGTTCAAACTTATAGTCACAAAGAAGAAAAGAAAATTAACTCTCAAGAAAGGTAGCAGTGGTGATGGGAATGGAAAGGAGTGGCTAGTTCAAGAGATATTTAGGGAGATGGATAGAGGGGGTAAGATTGATTTTAGTATATTATAAACATGTATGGAAATGGAGTAGTGAAATGCTCCCCTGTGTAACTAATGTAAGGTGAGAGCAAGAGACCGGGGGTGGCAGGGAGAGGGGGAGAGGAGAGTGAAAATAGATATAGAGCATGTGTGAGGTATGAAGATAGGCTCCTGGTTTCTTTTCTGGATGACTGGGGAAGAAAATTGATTCTCGGGGACTCATTTGTGTTAGCAGTCTTGTAAAAACTGAAGATAAATTTGATCTAAGCCCCACTTTGGCCAGGCTAGCACTAACTGGCAAGTACTGGTGGTTCCCTATTGATGAACACCAGGGGAACTTTTGCTTACCTAAATAGAGACATTTCAAGAGGTAGAGAAAATCCATGTAAAGTATTTAGACAAAAAGGTGAAAAGACTCTAATGTTTTGTGATCAATTACCTTTTACCATAGAGTTTCCTAGACTATTCAATAATAAGTGGTTAGGTTCAAATTTTTAAACAAGATTTCTTTGTCCCTTGGCTTTTAAAACTATCTTTAAGTTTGAAAAAATACCACAAACCTCCCTTTTCTCAATGCCTGTCCTGTGAATACTTGGATAAAAGAAAAACTGCGATTTTCATTAGAAGAATCACCAGCATCATGTATAAATTATTCAAAATTCTTCAGCAATGGCAATAGGAATTGACCTGTTTCCTGTATCTTTTCTCTTAAAGCTGACATTTTGCAAATTTTGCCTCCCATTCAGGTTGGAGGTATCAGGTATCTGTCACACTGTCTGGACAGAAAGTTACAGGACACATCCTGGTTTCTTTGTTTGGAAATGGAGGAAACTCTAAACAGTATGAAATTTTTAAGTGAGTAAAATAACTACTTTTCACTTTTAAAATGTTGGAATACTGTTTGCTATAATATATGTTACTGACAAAAAGGATTTTTTCCTATTATATATGAGAATATTGTCACGTGTGATAAAATAAAATTTGCCCCACTTACATCAACATAGATTTCCGAATTATATTCCTAAGTTTCTTCTCTCAGAATTTCTTAGGAAACTATTAATGTTTCTTTTGTTGTCTGACATAATGAATAAACCATTGCTCTCCACAAACCTGTGGGGGAAAGATGATACAATGATTACTGAACTGAGACTAAAAGCTGATTGAACATATAACACATCTTTTATGTATATTAAATGAAAGATAACATGACGCATTGGTAGCAAACCACCCACTCAGATAAAACAAATGTGAGAAATTAATTCATACCTTAGATTGAAAAATTGATTCATACATTATATTGGTAGCAAACCATCCATTGAGCTAAAATACATGTGAGAAATTAATTAAAACATTAACTTGAAAACCAATCAATTTAGGTATGGACATTTTAAGCTGGTTTTAGAAACATATACATGTATATAGACTACATATGATATATATTTATTGTGTGAATTACTTGGTTAGTATTTGTAAATAGTCACACACTTTTAAAACATCTTACCACCTCAGGGGCTCTCTCCAACCTGGTACAGTTCTTATCAATGAGGTCGACTCTGATGTGGATGTTGGAGACCTGCAGAAGGTTAAATTTATTTGGTATAACAATGTGATCAACCCAACCTTACCCCAAGTGGGAGCATCAAGGATCACAGTGAAAAGAAATGATGGAAGAGTGTAAGTAATAACTGAAGGGTTGAGAAGGACTGAGTAGTGTTTATAATTCTATCTTTACTAAAATTCTCCCTTAAGTACACATACTTCTACAATGATTCACTTCTGCTCCCCCCCCAATTCCCCCCACAAAGCTGATTTCTAAAGATTTTCGTATCTTTAGGAGAAAGTATAGAAATTTAGGGAACTGACTTGGATAGATTTGTATGTAAGTGTTCTTTCTGAAATTCAGCGGTAGAGTGAGAATCTCACTTCATAATTTGAAAGTGTAAAGAGTATTCCATTAGAATTAACTTATGCCCTGTGTGTAAATAATGTGCATCATTTGTGAACCTAAACTTTAGAGGCTCAAAACATTACCACTTAGATTATCAGAGACTTATTGAACTTATCAAAGAAGAATCTAGGTTTTGATGGAAAGGTCCACACTGAAGTGTTTCAGAGCCAAATGATGTTCAGGGAAAGTGAACTAATAATGGTAACAAGAGTTTTTATATATATTTTTATTGTAAAAATACTGCACAGAGGGGTTCCAGTTACATGAGTAGGGTAATGAGTACATTTCCTATCTAGCATTGTTATCTCCTCCTTTATTTTTCCCCTAGCATCCGTTCCCCCCCACCTCCCCAATTCCTCCCTCCCACCCCCGAAATTGTAAAGTTCGTTTTCAACATAGTGTCTTGTTTGCCTGTTAGACATCAGTATCTTTTATTGTTTGAGGTTCCATGTCATGAAAACTGTTGTTTCATGTAAGAGTTTTTTTTTATTAGTAAGCCAAATTTTGAGGCAAAGAAGACTGCTTCTGTCACCAAATTGCACTTATTCACATTAAAACCCAAGAAAAAAAAACAACTAAAACCCAAGAAAACTTGCATCTAACAGAGAGTACAAACCACAGCACTTCCAAACTTATCTAGTACAAATTCGGGCAAAATACATGAAACAAAAGTTTTCATGACATGGAACCTCAAGCAATAAAAGATAATGATGTCTAACAGACAAAAAAAATAAACAGGTAAAGCCATAAAATATCCCAGCTACTGCTTTGAGAGAATTTCCATGGGGTGGCACAGGCAGGTGGACTTCAAGCAGTAAGAGAAGGATCAGAGAAGCTAGAGCAGTTAGAGGACATAGAAGTATCTGGTCAATGTTCTCAACGTCTCTCCTTGGACCAAGAGTGCCCTTCTTTCTCAGATTGTTGGGGGAAGAATGGGTGGAGAGAGCAGCAGCTGGGCTCATACCCAGCACTCCACTTGTGTGACAGGAGTGACCTTTTGATGTCTCTCTCCACAGATTCAACTTCTGTAGCCAAGGTACCGTGAGGGAGGATGTTCTGCTTACCCTTACTCCCTGTTAGGAGCCTGTTGACACATGACCACTGGCTCTTACTACTAATAAAATCTACCTGTGAAGCATTACATTCTGTCTTTTGTCATTAATTACTTCCAATGAAACTTCTGGGTAAGATGTAAAAAATCCAAAATCTGTGTTTGGTATGTTGAAACACAAAAGACTGATGAATTTCACTACAAACCACATGGCATTTGATCTTGGAAATTTTGCTTACATGATACTGATATGGTGTCAACTACTCAAATTATGGATGCGGTTCTGATCATGGGAGGCAACCTTCTAGGCCCGAAGTGACCCTTTGTTGTAGGCCTAAAAGGAAAGCGCCAGCTGATGTTACTTTTCCATGATTAAGTTCTGCTCCTGACTAGCTGTCTCTGTAGGTGATGACACCATGAGGAATGAGGACAAGGCTCTCTGAGGCCTCCTAACTGGTCTCCCAGTTGGGTTGCCACAGACCTCTTCTCTCCCTGCAGGCTATTGGATTTACCTAAGCACAACTCAGAATTCTCCGTAGTGATCCTCTAAACAGAATCCATATTCCTTAGTCTTCTCAGTTCCTCTTAAACTCCATTCTCACCCCCCAGCTGTTTCTTTCTGGAACTCCATGTTCAGGACCTGCCCCCCCAAAGGGGGCTTTTGGTCTCATTTGCACAAACTGTTGTGTTTTTTTTCTTGTATGTCCTTTACTGCCTGTCTATTCCATTTCCCTCCATTTGTTTGACTTCTGTGAGTTCTTAAATATCTCTCTAGATTTCATTTTATCCAGAAAGCCTTTCTTTACCTCTTACCCTTTCAACCCAGATTGACTTAGCTATCTTTCTTTGCATTCCCACTGCTGCTGGTTTTTTCCCTTGTCATAATAACTCTGTCTCCACCTTTAATTACAAATTCTCACCTCATCTGTCATACCTATTTATCATATTAAGGCTGTTACATTCCTAAGAATACTGCTGAGAGATTTAACTATGATACCACTAATAGAAAGAAAAAATGAGTCTACTAAAGTCAGGTATTTACAACTAGGCTATGTTAAAATAAACACCTAAAAGAAAGAAAGATATCTATGCTATGTTTTACAAGACAATAGAGTTATGAGTTGTGTTAACGATGATGTGATGGGAATGGTACTTATGAGTTAGAAAACAACAAAGACACAGGACTATAAAAATATAAGAAGTTCAAAACATGCTTTGTTCCATGGTTCATCAAATTACTGTATATTCAAGTTCATAAAATATGAAAACTTGTTCTAAGCACAATCAACCTAGAGTAAGTAGGATGTATAACTCTTGAAGAACCAAAACCTTCAACCCTAACTAGTGCCCGCAAAAGGGATGTATGTTGTATCACGTGACTGGAAAGTCCAGAAGATGTAGAACACTGGTTTTGTTGGTCCAACAGCTTATTGAGCCTTCCAGAACTATTATCTTCCTGTCTCTTTGTTCTCTTGTCCATGATGACTGGCTCCATTCCCAATTGGAGCATGGCCATCTTCCTCAATTTGTGCCACAGACTTCCTCCTTCATATCTAGTAAAGGAGAAAGTGTCTTTTTTCTCAATCTTTCTGACAAAACGCCAAAAATTCTCTCTGACAATAAAATGGAATAGGGTAATTGGCTAAAGCCAGTCAGAGGCTAGCCTTGGACAGGGGATGAGACCAGAATCCCCAATGTACATGGACCATGTGGAGAAGGAATGAGTACCTAAATTAAAAAATGATCCATCCTCCTTAGTCACTTTAACAACTGGAAGATGGAATTGTTTTGATTGGGGGATGCTCTGTGAGAAATGTTTCAGGAGCAGATCAGAAGGTCATTTTTCATCTTGTCACATCTGAGATGTTTATCAGACCTCAAATGGCCCTATTAAGTAAGCAAAGGGAGTAGAGAATATAGGCCTGAATTAGACATCAAAATTTTGGTATGTTCAAGATGTAGTTGACATTTTTTAAAGACTGTATTTTTCTCAAAGGAGACTAGCACAATACTCTATACAGGTCAATGCTGAATTAATGTTATATTTTGTGTGAGGACCTTATGTAAATGTCCTATTAAGTTAAAAATACTAATAAAGCAGGCATGGTAGTGAACACCTGCAATCACAGCACTTGGGAGGTTAGGCACCAAGATTTCTTTATGCCAGCCTATGCTACATAGCAGAATGCCAACAAAATATTTAAAAATGAAAATATGAATACTAAAATTAGCAGATAAAGGTGCTACCTATCAATTTACTCACTTATACCATGAAAAATAGACTTTAACATCATTAAAGAATTAAAACCGTATATATACCCAATGGAATTCTATGCCTCCATCAGAAAGAATGACATTGCTCCATTTGTTAGGAAATGGAAAGACTTGGAAAAAATTATATTAAGTGAAGTAAGCCAGGCCCAAAGAAACATAGGTCCCATGGTTTCCCTTATTTGCAATAACTAATATATGTCTGAGTCAAGCAGAAAAGATCAGATAAGTTGATGTCAGGGAAATGAACCCTAAGATATGTATTCAAATGCTTTTTTCTTTCATGCGATTGTTTCTAACACATTTAAAGATGATTTCTTTGTTGCTTTGTATGTCCCTCCCCACGGTATTACCCCCGCTTTCACTGCATTTGATGTCAGTATAATTTGTGGAGGGGAAGGGCAAAAACAAGTCATTTAAATAGGGATACAGGTGGACCCATTGCAACAATGAGATGTACAAGATGTTATGTCGAAAAGGAACTTCACAACTTTGGTGGGGGGGAGGAGGATTGGGTGGGGTGGGGGGAGGACTGGAAGGGATGGGAGGGGGAAACAAAGGAGGAGGCTACAATGCTTGATAAGAAATGTACTCATTATCTTGCCCATGTAATTGTAACCCCTCTGTACAGTATTTTCACAATAAAAAAAACAAGAATTAAAACCACATTTACTTAAACTCTATTGTTACGGAGAATAATCATTCCTAGCAGGATACAGTGGTGGATACCTGTAGTCCTAGCTGCTTGGGAGGTGACACTGGGGAGATGGGGGCAGAGGAGGCAGTTGGTGAGACTCCATCTCAATCTGAGATAGGACATAGTGCCGGACACCTGTTATCCCAGATTCAGGGCATTCACAATGGCAAAGTGTGTATGCAACAGTACACACCTGTCATTCTCAGGTGTATGCAAGTAGGAGAACTGTAGCTTAGGCAAAATCAGACATAAAGCCAATGCTTAAAAATAGCCAATGTAAAAAGATGCTGGAGGTGGGGCTCAGTGGTACAGAGCTTCCTTCAGGCCTCAGTTCAATTCCCAGTCACACACACACACACCCCACACCACACACATGAACTATTCCAAAGATTTCATCTGTTTTAGGCTGTAGGAGTGTTGTTCTTTTTCTGATTTATTTCTCAGCAGCAAGTGGGATCTAATGAGAGATCCTTAGGACTTTGATGAATTTCTTAGATCTCTTTCTCTCTCCCTCTCCCTCTCCCCCTCTCTCTCCCTCTCTCTCTCCCTATCCCTCTCTCTCTCCCTCTTCCCTCTTCCTCCCTCCCTCTTTCCCTTCCTCCCCCCTCCCTCCCTCCTTCTACCTTCAAATTTCCTCTTGGATGATGTAAGCTCTTCAGCACATGTACCTCTGCCATGATTTGATGCAGCTGAGAGGGGAAAGGCCTTCACCAGAATTGAGCTACAGTTACTTTCATGACTTTGAAGCTCCAAAACTGTGAGTTAAATAAATTATTCTCTTTAAAGTGCTAGCTACCACAAGTATTTCACCATTGTAATGGAAAGCTGATTAGTTCAGGTAGTATAAACATTTTAGCAGTATCCTTCTGATCTACTTACATGGGATATCTTCCCATTTTATTGGGCTTTCTTTAATTTTTTATGTCCATGTTTTATATTTCTATGGTAGAGATAATTAGCTTTCTTGGTCACATTAATTACCAGATTTTTAAAATTATTTAGCTCATGGATTTTTTTGTTTCTTTGTATATATTTTATTGTAAAACTACTGTACAGAGGAGTTACAGTTACATGAGTAAGGTAATGAGTACATTTCCTATTGAGCATTGTTACCTCCTCCTTTGTCTTTCCCCTACCATCCCTTTCCTCCCCACCTCCCAACTTCTCCCTCCCCACTCCCTGAAGTTGTAAAGTTCTTTTCAACATAGTGTCTTGTACATCTTGTTGTTACAATGGGTCATCCTGTAACCTTAATTCAGCATTTTGTTATTTCCCTTCCCCTCCCCAAATTATAAAAATGTTTAAACAAGATTCAGGGCACTGGAATCAAATACAGTGAAAACAAGGGTTATACCATGGAAGAACATACAAAGGAAACAAAAAAATCACATGGTACATTATAAGTACATTAAAAACACAACAGCAAGAAAGATAAAAACCACTTGTGTCTCTACCTTGGGGCTCATTTTGCTTAGCATCATCTCATATGGTCATATGTACATAGCTTTTGAGCTTTTCTGCTTGTCTTAGACAGGACTTATGTTTCTTTGGGCCTGGCTTACTTCACTTAAATATAATTTTTCCAAGTCTTTCCATTTCCTAAAAAATGGGGCAGGATGATTCTTTCTGATGGAGGCATAGAATTCCACCATATATATAAATATATATATATATACATATATATATATATATATATATAATCACATTTTTGATCCATTCATCTACTGAGGGGCATCTGGGCTGATTCCATACCTTAGCTATGGTGAATAATGCTGTGATAAACATAGTTGTGCTGGTAGCTTTAGTATGGTCTTGTTTGTGATCGTTTGGGTAAATGCCCAAAAGTGGGATTGCTGGGTCATAGGGGAGCTCTATGTGTAGTCTTTTGAGGAAACTCAGTACTGCCTTCCAAAGTCATTACCAAAATTTTTGTTTTTGTTTTGCTTGTGACAGTCTCTTTGTTTAGCACAGGATGGCCTCAGGCTCACAGTCCGCCTCCACCAAAGTACTGGAATCACACACATGTGTCACCATAATTGGAGTCTAGTAATTTATAGCTATTTGAGTAGAATTCTTTTATTGTGTTTTTTTACAGATAGTTCACCATTGATGTATGAAAATA